TATAAAAACTTTAAAAAAATAGCAATCCAAATAAAAAGTAAAGCTTGCTGGGAATTATTACCAGCACCTTGTTTAATTACTCATTTATTTTTGGCTTAATTTTCAAGAAAAACTTTTAGCACGTGTCAGGTCATGTCGCACGTGCATGACAGTCCTAAACCCGGATTTAACTACAAGTTCTTGGCAGCGGTCCCAATATGACCCCCGAGACCCGGCCGACACGGTTCCCTATGCCCAAACCTCCCCTATACCCCACACCCTAGCTCCCCTAGACCTCTTAATTTCCCATTTTTCCATTTTCTTTTTCTTTCTCTCGTTTCTTTTGGTAGTATTTAATTTTTTTTTTTTCTGTACTACGAGTAAAACAAAGGTATGGTTTTTGTAATTTTCCCCTAGGATAATACATCAAACAAAATTATATATATTCTGTACTGCACAATAAGTATATAATCACCACCAATATGTTTCTTCTGGTTATTTTTTATATTTAATTTGCGTGTTGTTGCAGGCAAGAAAATAAAAGTGGTACTAATAGTGTTGGAAAAAGAAATTCAAAATTTACTGGGAAGTGATGTTTTGTTTTCTTTTGTAATTTGGGGACGACAAAAATAGAATTTCAGAATTTGTACTCCTGTATTGAACAAAATTTTGGTATATTATTCTTTTTAGACAAAAAATAAAAGTGATCCACAATACTTTTATTTGATCGACCATTACAAATTACAATATCTCATAATTAATTTTAAATTTTTTCCTTATAACATGATATTTCAAAATTTTTCCAATATGTGCAATAAACGGGATATTTCAACTTTGCACTTTCTAAGCATTTCTTTTAAAGCATTAAATTTTAGCAAACTTTTCCATTACTTCCAGTCTTTCGATCTTTCTCTGTCTTTCATTTCCTCTTTTATCTTTATTCAATAGTAATGAAAGGGGACGCAAATGTTTTTTTCATAAATGAATTTGCAATGAATAGCTCAGATTGAAGCTACTTAATGTGGCTAGATCTAAGCCACAAAACTTGATTTTGGAATTACATTATTGCAATTGCAGAAGCCTTTTTTTTTTTTTTGGGAGGGACACTGGTTTCTTAATGTCTTCTTGGACCCTGTCCCTTCATTTATTCATTTATTTATTTTGAGGAATAGGGACCCTCTACTTCAAGACATCCATATATCATACTGTATCAACTAACAGAAAGTACATATAGTTTGTAAAGAATTGAGTACCATTTACCTTCTCTCTTGCTTGTAACAATTAATAGACAAGCATTAATCAGCTTATTGGCAAGCAATTCTCTCCAGACTATTATCACAAAATTTTCGGTTGTGTTTGGATTGCATTTTTCTAGATTTTTTGTAGAAAAATTACTGTAGCGATTTGATATATGTGAGTTAAAAAGGTGATTGGAAAATATGTTCACGAAAAACGTAGCAATTTTTCTTTTGAAAATGGCTGTATCAACCAACAGAAAGTACACAGTTTGTAAAGAATTGAGTACCATTTCCCCACTTTTTCCTGGTAACAATCAATAGACGTGCAATTCTCTCCAGATTATTGTCACAGTTTCTTTTGGCCACATGTAAATAATTAAATGTTAGTAATAAAGATCACATTAATTTTTTTTTTGACCAAATGGAGATCACATGCTTGATCAAGTAAGAACAATTTTTTTATTGGATGCATTTTTTTTTTCGGTATTGCTGGCATTTCAATTTCCTGTGGATGCTTTCATTGAGGTAGCCGTTCCCCGTAGAATCTGCACAAATGGTTCAGCAAAGCACTGTTGAGAAGGATAAGGGGCTTTTGTTGTGGGGCTTTGTTTGTTTGGACTTTGGAGCTTAAACTCCCTCAACCTCTAATCTATTGGCATTTCCTTCGTATTGTTTTATGGGGACAAAGTTATCTTTGGATTAGTTTTAGTGTAGGGTTGCAGTCATTTATCTCATTGCTCTGACATTGACAAACATTGTTCATATAGAAATCTTCAATTCAAAAGATAAAGAAAACACTGAAGGGAATTCTATTTTCAGATGCAATTTTCCTCCTGCACTTTTAAGTTTGTGAAAATCCAATTTTCCATCTTGTTTTGATCTATTGCGTAAAATATCATTCTATTGAGTATAGCTTGAATGTATACAAGAGCAGAAAATTTGCCTTTTTAGAAGTGTTGTATGCAAGCAACTATTTACTAATTCTATGATTTCCAAGTAACTATATCCAAGTAACTATTTACTAATTCTATGATTTCTATTTTCCAAAAAAAAAAAAAGTCTCAGGGAAATCCTGATTTAGGCTAAGAATCCAGTTGTCTTTTGTGTTTGACACATTCTACCAGTGTACTACATAACGACAAATCTCCTCAATCACCCTTTGAACACATAGTTGGTTTGATTTTACAGAAGTTAACTCTATGGTAAAGCACCTAATCAAAATTTTGTTCATTGTCTATATATGTGTGTCAATTAAGGGAGCCAACAAGTGTCTTAACCATGAAAATATCCTTTCTTAATTCAACTGAAGGGATTCTCTTTATCCAAAAACTTAATTATTGAGCAATTAAAAGAAAAATGGAATTTCACATAAAATAGAGAAATTTATACATTTGTTATTTCTTCGCAAGATGTATCTTTACTCTCCATAAGTCTGTTGTTTTGACTTAAACAAGTTATTTTATGAACAAATAACTTGCTTATTGAGGGCATGAGACCTAGTTCTCATCATTATCCTAGATACTCCCCTTGCGTGATGTTTGACTTTCTAAAGTAACGGATGCTTAGATTTCAAGCTGATAAATTTAATCTGAGCTAACCTCAGGGCATTTGAAGATAACCATTAACAAATTTCTTCAGGCATTTGGTTCGTTTAAGTATTTATTCAATGAGGGAAAACAAATTTGTTGAAGCGTTTAGATACTTATAAGAATCACTGGAGTTGACTGGATGGTAAGGACGACGTGACTCTTAGAGTTCTCTTTGTTGTTAAGTTCAAGGTCTAGATTTTAGAAATAGAAAACATGTAAAGAGAAGTGGAAGTGTAAAAGAGAGACATAGAGAACGGTCAAGATCTCATTGACAAAAGATGGGTTTCTCATGTATAGCAATTATTGACAGTAAAAAAAAAAAAAATTTATGAAGGTTAATTTAAACTTACTGGCAACCAATTTTATGGTCCATAAGGTTTAATATTTCTAGAACAACGAAGGTTTCATTCTTAAAAAGCCAATTCTGAACAATAAGTAAAAAGCCTGCATTCTAGAATAACAAATCCATGTAACTGACCTGACTTGACCTCAATAAAGAAGAGAAAGAATGATAGACAAGACTAGGCATATCTTCTTGTTGGGCAAAAACTGTGAAGTGACCTCCAGTTTTTGACATTCAAATAAACAAGAGGTTGTATGTAAGGGAAATGCTACTGGTACTGCCAGATTTAGTGATTTACCTTAATCAGCCCATGAAAGAGAATATATTGATAAAGTTGAGTGACAGATTGATTTATCTCGTTTGAAAACCAATTTAGTGCAAACTGCAAACCAATTTAAAAATACATGCTCAGCTCATGTTCCGGGTAGTCTTTGCCAGAATTTTAAATTTAATACTTGTAAGGTATTATTTAAAAATTCATACGTAGGTTTGTTTGGACAACAATTTATTTGGTCAAATATATTTACTTATATCATCATTACAATTTCCAATACACCTTTTTACCTTCCCAATTAACTTTTTATCTCACATACATCACATCACAAAAAGTGCTACAGTAAAAATATCTCAAATAATTTACAATCCAAACAGAGCCGCATGATAATTTCCATATTTGTGGTTTCTTCCGCATATCAATAGTAAAACAAATTGCTTTGGCAGAAGTATACATATTTGCACTTTCTATTCAGTAGGAAATGCTATCTTATGAAAATAATTCTTCTCAATAAACGATGCTATGTTATGATTTGTTAAAAAAAAAAAAAAGGAGTGTACCCTGATTACTAGGATATACAAATTACAAATTATGTGGATCATGTAATATAAAGTGGTAGTATTCGTTTCTTTTCATCATTCATACAAAAAAAAAATGTGTATATAATATCATAAAGTTATTTATTATCTTAGTCGTCAGATTGAGATTCCATAAATTAGAGGTATTAGGTTCAAATTACTACTAATAAGTCAGAGGACATAAACACGTACATGTTATCAAGATATACACAAAGAATTACTACTACTTTTCAAGCAATAAGTGGATCGATATATCCCTGCTTTAGAAAAAGATTGGCGATTTTTCTGATGGCCATAAGCACAAAACCTTTTTTGTAAGGAAAACTAGTTGAGGTGGCCATAACTGGTTATGAGATGATAGTCACATACTATTCTAGAAAACCTTTAACCACGGTGAGCAAAGTCAAGTCTTTTCTACCGACAATTTGTCAAGGGAAAAATTTAAGAGAAGTGCACTATAATGCAGTAAATATATTCCCTCGAATTATATAAGATGCTTTTGTAAATAAACGAATTATTAGGAAAAAAAATAAAAAGCACTACTCTTCTCTGCCAAAATGAATAAATTAGCAAAATCTAATGCACTACATATACCACAATTTTGGACGAGTATTAATTTATAACCGCAAGATTTACACTACTATAAAACTCCAAACTCCATGTGCTTCTCTTCTCTGTTCATCCTCTCCAAAGAAACAACATGAACTTTATACCATTCTTTTTTCTCTCTTTTGTCTAATTAGGCAGAAGCAACATGAGAGCTACTATATCTTATCAGACTTAATTTAATTATCCTCTAAATCCTCCCTCTCAACTCTCCAATCTTACATTTTAAAAACCATTATTTAAAATTAATCTACATATTTGTCAAACAATTAAAAACCCCACTAACTTGTAATCTTCTACTACTACTCATTTATTTTTTTCCCGTGTTTAAAAAAAAATATAACAGCCGCCCAGAACAGCCATCCATATTGCTCAGTTGCCTCACATCCCCCACCCCCTCCTTCTCTCTCTCTCTCTCTTCCTATTTCTCTCCCAAAAATATCTGACCATCCACAAGAAATAGTAGTGTGAAATATTCACTCATCTTATCAGTACTTCCCTTCATCAAAATAGACAAGTACTAGAATAGAACCAAGAAGTAGGGAAGAAGAAAAAAGATGAATGATTAAGTAAAGCTAAAGCTAAGCTATCGCTCTCTCTTTTTCTCCTCCTCTCTTCTTCTCCTCCTCTTCGTCCTATCTATCGCCTACAAGAAAACAACTATTTAGTTCATTTACCAGCAACTGAGAAGCGAAACAAGAAAGCAAAACAAAAAAAGAAGAAAGAAAAATGTCCCTAGAGGACTCCTTAAGATCTTTATCCTTAGACTATCTGAATCTGCTGATCAACGGTCAAGCTTTCAGCGATGTAACCTTCAGCGTAGAGGGTCGTTTAGTCCATGCTCACAGGTGTATTCTTGCAGCCAGGAGCTTATTCTTTAGGAAATTCTTTTGTGGGCCGGACACGCCGGCGGGTCTGGACCCATCGGGGTCGAGGATGGGCGGCCCGGCCGGCGCCTTGGCATCGTCCCCGAGAGGGTCAAACTCGCAGGTGATACCAGTGAACTCGGTTGGGTATGAAGTTTTCTTGCTGATGCTTCAGTTTTTGTATAGTGGACAAGTCTCAATTGTGCCTCAGAAACATGAGCCAAGGCCTAATTGTGGTGAGAGAGGATGTTGGCACACACATTGCACCTCAGCCGTTGATCTTGCTCTTGATACTCTCGCTGCCGCTAGATCTTTTGGTGTTGAACAGCTCGCATTGCTCACTCAGGTTAATTTTAATTTCTTCACAACCACACACACCCCGTGTCACTCTCTCTTCCAATACTTTTTCCTACAAACTCTTTTTTTTTTTTAAAAAAAAAACACCCAAAGGTTGCCTAACTGTTGGAAGATTTCGGGTTAACGGGATTCTTGATTTTTCATTTTTTTTCAATTTTTTTTTGTGTTTTTTTGGGGGGGTGGCAGAATAGTTGTGTAGTATAATATAGATACTTGGGTGGAAATTGTTTGTGTTTATTAGTGGTTTTTGTTTTTTTTTGTTGTTTCCTTGTCTGAGAAATCTAGTTAGTAGTTCTTTTATTTTGTCAGTGAGTACTAGATTTCTTTCATCAGTTGTGTGGCAGCCAGCACTGATGATGATCAGATCAAACTACTACTTGTCTTCGTTTTCTTTCGATTATACCGTCTTTCAAGCTTATGCATCAGAGACGAGCTGGTGTATAAGCAAGCATGAAGCATCATTTTCTTGTCTGTTGTTTTTCTTCCTTTTTTTGTGAAAACTCCGAGTTTGAGTAAAATAAGGCGGTTTCATTGTATTTTTCACTTGATAATAAGTTTGGTCTTGATTTCATGTAGTTACACTTGTAGTACTAGTAGTTTCTTGAATTGGGCTTTCTCCATTATGTTCCAAACCCATTACTTTCCAAATTTGCGTCTTTGATTTCTAGTCTTGTCTTTCAACAGTGATTAAACCAAATCTTTCCCAAACAACTCTTTTACTTTCCTCATTTGGATTTTTAGGTAGAGTGCAAAAATGAACAATATATTAGCCCACCCTACAGCATCACCTTTCCGCACAAACACATGGCTTCTCAACTCAACCAATTCTGCAATTTTTTTTTTTAAACCAATTCTGCAACTTCTTCTGCATAACATGTCAAATCTATGAAATGACTAGCTAGCCACTAATTTGTTATTTTGTTAGTACTTAACTCAGACCACATTTATTTTTGGTACATATTTCAGAAGCAATTGGCCAGCATGGTTGAGAAGGCCTCAATTGAAGATGTCATGAAAGTGTTAATAGCTTCAAGAAAACAAGACATGCACCAACTCTGGACTACTTGTTCACATTTGGTAGCAAAATCTGGCCTACCACCAGAAGTCCTTGCTAAACACCTTCCCATCGATGTAGTAGCCAAGATTGAAGAGCTCCGCCTCAAAACATCGCTTGTTCGAGGATCTCTGATGCCTCACCACCACCACCACCACAACCATGATATCAGTGCTGCAGCTGAGCTCGAGGGCCAGAAAATTCGCCGAATGAGACGGGCACTCGACTCGTCTGACGTCGAACTTGTCAAGCTTATGGTAATGGGAGAAGGGCTTAATTTGGATGATGCATTGGCCCTACATTATGCAGTTGAGAATTGTAGCCGAGAGGTGGTAAAAGCGTTGCTTGAGCTTGGAGCTGCTGATGTTAACTACCCAGCTGGGCCAGCAGGCAAAACCCCACTTCACATTGCAGCCGAAATGGTGTCCCCAGACATGGTGGCGGTCCTTCTTGACCACCATGCCGACCCAAATGTCCGAACTGTCGATGGGATCACTCCGTTAGACATCCTTCGAACCCTAACTTCTGATTTTCTATTCAAGGGTGCTGTCCCGGGGCTAACTCATATCGAACCAAACAAGCTCAGGCTTTGTCTGGAGCTAGTTCAATCAGCTGCTATGGTGATCTCTCGGGAGGAAGGCAATGCAAATGCGCCAGCTTCGGCTACAATCTACCCTCCAATGAGCGAGGAGCATACGAGTAGTAGTAGCAGTGGCAACATGGCCAACTTGAATCTTGATTCGAGAATGGTTTATCTGAATCTTGGTGCAGCTGCATCAGCTGGCCAAATGGGGTGCAAGATGACTGACGGAGATGAACATCACAGTAGCCACGGTAGCCAAAGAGAAGCTTTGAGTCGCCATGGTTCCCAAGGTGGTTGTGATCCATCGATTTATCACCATCATTCTCATGATTATTAGTAATTTAGCTTCATCAACTGTCGAGGAAGTGGAAGAACCCTCTCTAGATCTTTCTCTATCTCTCTCTTCCTCTTCTTTGAACCTATCTTTCTTGATTTATTGGCCAGCCTTCAGAAGTGGGATGGACGGACAAGCACAAAAAGGTTGATCAAAACCCATGAAGATTTATTTTATATTTTGAGTCAACATATAATCTTTTGTCAGTTTTTCGGTCTGCTTTTGTTTAGGTTCTCTATATTAAAAAAAAAAAAACTCTGTTCTCGCTACTTTTACTCTTCTGTCTTGGTTAATTTTTTTTTTCTTTTTTCTTTTTGGTTTTGGGTTTTTCTATTATTTCTCTGTGGTGGGTTTTTTTTTTTTTTAATTTTTTCTAGGTCTTTCCAATGATAAATGATGCGCAGTGCATGTGGTGGCAATTAGGGATGGATGGAATTTTTCTCACCAGATGGGACAAGGAGAATCCAAGTTTTGCTGAGTGATGGAGAGGACGCAGGTCATCAATCTTTTCAATCCCCGGCCTGTCAACTCCTTTTGTTTTTATTGGTACATCTAATGTCATGGACAATTTTCAATGATCTATTAGTTTTACTTTTCTAGTCTCCTCAACCAAGTGCCAACCTCTCATAACACTATAGAATAACTATTAGATGTCGAAGCATATATTCATTATTATTGCCATTTAGTAATATTTTTATCTACAATTTATATTATGTAAATATAGCACCATAATGAATTGGCTATGTGGTAAAAAGTTAGAAGTATACATATGCACACTCTGATATGATAAGTTAAACGGATGTTTGATTTCTTGTGGTGGTGGGGCTTTAGTTCATTGAGGGCTTTGTTTGGACATTGGGACATTTAATAATGCAAATGAGGGAAATGAGCTGTCTTTCTGCTTTTACTCTTTTTTTCTTTCCCTAATGCCTTCATGGGGGTTGGGAGAAACTTGATTGGCTTTAATTGTGTCTAATTAGATATTTTTAAAGACATGGGTTGGATTGGGACAAATTGATTGGCTGTCTTGCATGAAGGTAACATTGAATGTGACCACACGACAGCTCAATTTTTTGGTATATCTAATGCCGGATTCTTTCCATAATCCTCTTTTTTGTCTCCTCCTCTTTCCTTTTTGAGCTTTCTAACTTATTGAAAAACTTAATAAAGAGATGAAACCCTAGGAATTGAACATTCTCTTGCTTAATTTAACCACTAAATTCTGGTTGAGGATAGTTGAAGCTTCTGTACATTTTCTTTTACCCCACCCATTCTCTAGGCCATTTCTAAGTCCCTAGATAAAGAGCATCGGAAACGGGATTTTCTGTTGGGGGAAAAGGAATAGGGATGGTGGTGGGGGGGCAAGGGTCATGTTCTTGAACGCTGTGGATTCTTTCATTGGTACAAGTTACAATAAGATACATGGTCTTACTCTTTTGGGTACAAGAATATAGCTACCTTATACTGTGAAGTAGTACAAGGAAAATAACTTTGGTTAATTTTCACGGAAATATCAAGAAACAGTCGCTTCTGCGAGTCATTTTGACATTAAAAATTGAGGGAAACAACAATCAAATTGCAGTATAATATGACATAGCATTTCTCAGATGTGATTTCTAATTATCTTTTTGGCTATAGTATACATCTAATAGTAATTGAATTATCGAGTTCAATAAAGGAATAATTTGTCGTCGTGATTAGGAGGCAGTATATAATGTAATTGTGGACTCATAACTTAAGATTATAACTAGACCTTCATTAATTTGAGAAATAGCATACAGATTAGCATGATTCCAAGTAACATCTCAGAGAGTTGCTCAAAATCCATTCTTGTCTCTCCTTCTTGACAATCATTTATCATCTTTGCAATTCTTGTTGTCCAGCTTGGGGTCTAAGTATTTAACCCTTGTGCATATATCATCAGTTTCTGTTTTTGTACGGACACCTTTTTCATTGTCTTGTCACGTCCCTTAAAAACAAGAAATCCAATAAGTTCTGCCCTTTAAAATGCTTGCTTGTGTTTCTTCCTTGAGGAGTTAATGCGCTTTTTGAACATATAATGCGATGTCCGAATCCCCCCTTTACCACCCCGAAAGAAAAAGAAGAAAAATGAAAGAAAAACCTATGCGGTTAGCCTGCAGTTTTGTATAATGATGATTGTTAACAATTTTCTTATCAACATGAAGAGATGGAATGGAAAAAACTGCGATTTGAGCAGTTACATGACCATGTCATCTACTACAATTTACTAGTATTCTCTATTTGGATTCTGAAGTAATCCTTTGGAAACATAAAATGTCATTAGTAATCTCCTCATTCCAATTACAATTTGACATTCTTCTCAAAAGAAATGTACTTATATGAGCAACATGGACTAGCTTAGATAAAATGTAGTTTTCCCAAACCTGGTCTTTAAGTTAATTGTCGGATAAAACTATCGAAATATGCAGGATTGTCAACTCAAGCCTTGCTTGTCTCGAAAGAAACATTTGTTGTTTAACCATGGCTTACTTCCCATGCATGATTTGCGGCACTGAACCGTCAATGAATTGCACATTTTAGACCTGCCATATTCTGCATAATTATCTTAGATCCATCCTTCATTTGATTAGTTTGCTGGCATTGTGCATATGTTGTTAATTTCATCCTTTGTTTAATTTTTTTGCCCCGCTGAAATCCAATTTAGGCACTTAAGACTTGTACATTTTGTGGATGCTAAAGGTTGATGTTTGAAGTAGCATTGACCTTCTTCTTCTTCTTCTTGAATTGATGGAAATCAGTTGTAGATGAAATAATTGTATTAACATTATGTCTTTTTTTCATTTCTTTTCTTAGTTTTAACCCATTTATCTATCGCAGTTGGTTATGTACTGATAGACAATTAAAAGCCTTGCAAATTAGAAGTTCTTTGAAACAAGAGATGAAAAAGAGAAACATCAAATCCTTAATTATTTAGGGGTAAGATGGGCAAATAAATGGGGAGACAAATTTTTAAGTACATAATTAATATCTGCAGTCATTTAAGATATCTAAATATCTTATTGGTCTTTGTTGTTTTAGAGATGTTTGAAATCAGTTAGGATCTATGTGCCACTATCGGGTGCCAAATTCAGTGTCGGTCCCATCACGTGATGAGAAAGGAAACTTAAATATACGATACATGACAATTAAAATAAATAGAATACTTGACATAAATATAGAAGCGATACTGAATTGTTACTGGAAACTGGTATTGAGTATCTCATGCGATCTGAAATGTATGAAATGTATACATTTCTCAATTTGAATATAGCATTTAGATGCGATTAGTATCTCTACAGCTTAATTATATTCTCGAATCATAATGGTGGTGAATGCTTTTGTTAGAAGGATCCATGTAAAGTACAAAATAATTAGGGTTTGCCACTCGTTTTAATTAGAAACGAGGTATAACTTTTTTCAGTTTATCTCTTGATCCTCTTAAATGCAATCCCATTTAGTTTCTCAAATATGAAATAGAACAAATCAACACAAATAAAAAAAAAAAAGTGGTAGACCCGATAACTATGTCTTGTACTTAGGCATGCAATTTATTTTCTTTTCAAGTACAATATTTTTATAATTGGTCCTATATTAAGGAGAGAGAGAAGGAAATAGAGATGGATCCAACTAAACCATTGAGAATTTGGGAGGAATTAAACGGCCTCCAGAAATGTTCTAAGAAATCCTGGACAGAAAATGTTCCAAGAAATGTTAAAAGTTGAGGATCAAGATAATTACACAGACTTTGATATCTCTTGCTTGAAACAAAATCTCATAGCCTCTTTTTCCTAACAAAAACCAAAAAATATGGTGCCTTTACTGCTTAAACGAACTGATTTTGAAAAGAAAAGCGGTAGATTATGTCTTGGATGCACATGGCGCAAAATCTTGAAGGGGCCTTTTGTCAATCGGAAAAGATCTACAATAGTTGGGAAACAACTGAAGAATGAAAAATTATGAAACATGTCTAAATCAATCATGTTTATGAGTTTTACTCTTGTGGAAAAAATTCACAAAAGCCTCGTATATATGCGAGTGGGAAGTCAAGGCAATTTGGCTTTGAACTCGGTCATGATACCACTTTTCTTAGCAACATTTATAAAGATTATAATATTGCCTATTTATTTTTTTTCTGACGGAGTGGGTGTCCGGGTCAATGCTTACGAGGTCCGACTAATCCCATTCCAGTTCGGGTCGAAAGGCCCCATTCCCGAGCGCGTTAACAGCGGGACTCAAACTTTAGTTGCCAGGAAGGTCGCCATATCCTAAAGAGAGAGAGCGGACCGCTCGAGCTATCCCGTGGGGGCTCATAATATTGCCTACATGCTAACATCAAAGTATTAGTTTTTGGGGTGTGCAATTAACGTCAAGTATTTCAAATTTAGGGCAGCAAATTATAGAGTGTCTCTTTGTTAAATTCTCTCTCTCTCTCTCTCTCTCTCTATATATATATATATATATAGCAAGGAGGGATGAAATTTAAAAAATAAAAAAGGGGAAGGAGAATTAGAGCTCATGAACTCTAAATCCTAGAATTTCAATTTTAACCATTAGACCAAGACTTTCTTGATTCCCTCCCCACTGGCTTAGCAGTCTTAAGGAATTTACTAGTGATCATATCTATTATTTTCAGATTTCAGGTTCTCACTTTAATTGTCACGCTATTGCAAAATCATTTTTCAGGCAGTTACCTTGAATTTGGTTGCTATTAGTATTTGGCCCAACATCCCAACAAATAGAAGTATCTTTATATTACTGTGAGAAAATAAGTTACTTCGTAACCAAATTAATTTGATATTTACACATTTCCACCAGTTTCTTGCACATCTTTGGAATGTTTTTTCAAGACCAGATGACAACTATGTATATATATGTAGTTGACCAAATGCATGACAAGACTGTGTGTGAATATCATTAACCTTATTTTTCTCTAGTGTTCATGATATAAAGTCTTGAGTATAGTTATCGGTCCCATGACTCCCCACAAATGTAACAGAAAAATTGGTAAAGACCAATTCCAGTAAACGAAACCCCCCAAATTGAAACTGGACGTTGTATTGCAAGAGGTTATGCCAAAACGGCTAGAGAATCTATGGCAGGTAATTAACAATGGGCTATTTTATCAACTAAAAAATTTCTGCAGCTGAGAACTATTTACCATCTCGGGGAAAGCACAAATGTGAGTTCATCCACATAAAGGATTAGAAAATCTTCAAAATGGAATTTTGAGATGTCGGCCAAGCCATATGTAGCAATAAGCCTTTTTCTAGTGTATATTTATGGGTTAATCTGTTATGTGTGGAGCCGGTGTCATCTTATTTGCAAATTTTTGACCCTTAGGTATAGGCAATTCAGGGTGGATAGGAAGGTTAGAATTTCACACTAAACTTATACTCTTTTTTGATATGCTTCTACTGTACCTTCAAGGTCCAAAATAGAAATATGTTATATATATGTATATATATATATTGCCAGAAAAATATGCAAATGGTCTTTGGTAGCAGGAGATGCCATAGTGGAAGTCATAGACACACGCTTATATTCGAACTGTTACTATTTTTTGATGCAAGATATTTTAGATGGGGTGCAATCTTGTCAGAGTTGGAGGACTGAGGGAAAGAAATATGATTAAGTTTGAGATATTAAGCAAATAA